GTAAATAACGACACAACAGTCGTATCCAAGTAGAGACTACCCGCAAGTGCGGTGTAGGTGACGGACTTGGAAACTTGTTCAACCCAATGCATCTATATCCATTTTCACTCGAACAAAATATAAAACGTATCTAAATCCATTTTCGTAAGTTTATACCACAAGAAATGAACAGTTCCCAGCTGAAGACCCTTAATTCAAAGTCTCTGCTGCATATGGATTTCTATTACCCATCAGAACCAGGTCCCAGATGTGTCGACAATGGACTTGCCAACTCGTAAAATGGACTTGCCAGCTGAAGACCCTTAATTCAAAGTCTCTGTTTGCTTGTTTTGTTCTTGTCTGGATTTTGTTGTCTACAATGGATGATCTTGTCTGGATTTTGTTGTCGTCAATTATGATATATTTTCTGCTCTCTAACAGACGCTGGAGGAGACCAACTGTTCAAAGTTTTGGCTGCATATGGATTTTCCCCCAAAGACTAATTGGTGTGCCAAGACTTCCGCGGCTAGCAAACTCCATCATGCATTCGTTAAACAAGTTCACATGATTGTGTCCATGACCTGCTATCTGTGAGCTGGCCAGGGCTTTGCACGGTGGTGTTCCACGACCAAACGTGTTACATGCTGTGGTTGGGACTTGGGAAGAGAAAAATTTAGCTGAAACCTGCTGTATGCAACAGTTGCGTCTGCATCTCTTTTCTGTGGGAGGAAAGGAGAGGGAAGGGGTGACGGGGGAGTGATGATCGGTGGAGAAAATAAAGTTGTTGATTGAAGATGGAGGACCAAGGAGTTTGGATCAAATGCAATAACATTTTTATTTAGGCTTATTTTTAGCTACATCCCTTGAAACTCGATTTTGATATCACAAGTCAAAGTATAACGAATTTTGAGTTTCAGGAAGTAAAGTTACTCGATTTCACATATTAGATCAAGTATAATTATTTGGAGATTTAAACATGGGTCTTTCTTTAAAATGTGAAGGGACATCATCGTAATACTAACGGCATAATATTTTTTTGCTTATTGTAACTACTTGCTAGGTCATAAATGATTTTGCCCAAACGCACCCTCCAGCTTATTTTTGTTCCTTGATTTTTCTCTGTCTTTTTCAGTCCAATATTCATGAACAAACAAAAAGTATAGATGAAGAGAAAAAGTGTGTGAAAATTATTTTTTCAAAAATAGTTTCCTAATTTCACAATAAAGGAAAAGAAAAGGAAATGATAAACACAAACCCTTTTTAACCTCTTACACATTCGGTGGTTATGTTTGATTTATTCAATTTAATATTTAGAAATAAAAAATAATGTGTGACAAACCTTGTTGTGTGAGAATTACTCTCCGAAAAAGCTTTGTAGGATAAATGTTTTCAACTATCAGAGGACAACGTGTATAGAAAAGCCAAATTACTATGTCATAGTCGGTCACATAACCCGTTCTCTGTTATGTTGGTTTAAGGGATACTCCAAAGTCCAAACTATGGGAAATGAAATATGATAGTCCAATATTAGTTATCTGACAAATTGAATGGAGTTAGAGTGAGAAGATAAATTGAATGGAGGCACATGATGGAAAACTTAACAGAATTAGCACGGAATTACAAATTTACGATTTTGGAAAGTTAGTACGAAAAATTGCTTAAAATTTTAGTTTGTATAACAAATTGAAAAATGTGTAAGAGTTCATATGACATTTCAAAAACTTTCTCTATACTAATATTCTTGCACTGCGTTATTGAAACAAACATCGGAATTATGTCTCTCTAGCTACCTCTCGTCGCTGTAAACCAGAGTCTTTGTTGTTGTCTGGATTTTGTTGTCGTCAATTATGATATTTTTCTGCTCTCTAAAAGACGCTGGAGAAGACTCACTATTCAAAGTCTCCGCGGCATATGGATTTTCCACCAAAGACTAATTGCTGTGCTTAGACTTCTGCGGCTAGCAATCTCCATCATGCATGCTTTTTCATTTGGTCCTACACAGCTTCATAAGAATTCGGAAACTTCCATAGAAAGATCTCTGTATTTCCCTTTAGTGAAAAACAAGTAAGAAAGCGACTAGCGTGGCAATGACGATTTTTTGAGTGTTAATAACATTTCCATTATGTAGAAAATTTGTAAATAACGACACGACAATCATATCCAAGTCAAGAGTACCAGCGAGTGTGGAGTAGGCGATGGACTTGTAAACTTGTTCAACCCGACACATCTATATCCATTTTCGTTCGAAAAAAATATAAAACATATCTAAATCCGTTTTCGTAATTTAATACCACAATAAAAGAAGAGTAAATAAGATGATAGGTTGTGAATTTCTACAACCCATAATGGACGTCAAAGATCCTTAATTCAAGGACCCAGCTGTGTCCACAATGGACTTGCAAACTTGTAAAAGGGGTTATGAACACACGACTTTCGTTGCAACTCCCCGATCTACATCGATAATCTATTCCTATAAATTTTGAAATTTAGCAGCTAAACATCACCATCACCAAAGCATAGCAAAGAAAATTGTGTGTGATAATGGACAGCCACTATCACCTCAGTATTGCTCACTATTTCCTTCTTTTTCTTTTGGCGTCTTCCTACATGCGGAGTACTACCAAATTCTGTTTCTGTTTGGCCAGTGGTGAACTTTCAAGCAGTGTGGAAACAAATTCGTGCATCGACGAAGAAAGACGAGCGCTTCTCATCTTTAAACGACATCTTGTTGATCATTCTGGCAGGCTTTCCTCTTGGGTAGGTCACGATTGCTGTCGATGGGAAGGGATTTCATGCAACAATCTCACCGGTCATGTCGTGAAGATGGACCTCCGGAATCGATACCCAGATCTACATTCCATTTTTGATGAAGAGTCGGCGTATGAAATGGCTCAATTGAGAGGTAAGATAAATGCTTCTCTGTTGAGCTTGAAACATTTAAATTACCTGGACCTAAGCTTTAATGATTTTCATCGCATTCAAGTTCCTAAGTTCTTCGGGGAGCTTAAAAGTTTGCAATATCTTAATCTCTCATCTGCATCATTTAGAGGAGAGATTCCCCCTTCTCTTGGTAACCTGTCAAGCCTCAATTTTCTTGACCTTGGGTGGAATCAACTCTCAACTTCCAGAAATTTGAATTGGCTGTCTCGCCTCTCTTCTCTAAAATACCTTGATCTCGGAGACATGGATCTTAGCACCACAGGAGTCAATTGGGCGTATGCTGTTAATATGCTTCCTTCATTAGCAGAGTTACACTTATCTCATTGCCAAATTGAAAGCATTTCACTCTCACTGCAGAGCATTAACTTGACATCACTTTTTAATCTTACCAGCCTCATAACACTTGATCTATCCTCGAATGATTTCGGTGGTCCTTTCCCAAGTGACTTTGCAAACTTCAAATCTCTGGAATACCTTGATTTATCTAGTACAGGCTTAGAAGGCCAAATTCCTAAAGGCATTGGAAATTTGTGCAAGCTAAAGGTCTTAAGTCTTTATGAAAACGAATTTAATGGGGGGCTCGAAGAGTTTTGGAGAAGTTTCTCAAATTGTTCAAATATTGCATTAGAGTCATTAGATTTGTCTTCTTGTGAGCTGGGAAGCCAACTGCCGGTCTCCTTAGGAATGTTTAAAAGTATGCAGAATCTCTACCTTCAAGACAACTCTTTGTGGGGCTCAATTCCAGATTCCATTGGAAACTTGTCATCCTTGAAAACTTTATACCTCTCTTATAATATGATGAACAGCTCCATTCCAGATTCCATTGGAAACTTGTCATCCTTGAAAACTTTAGACCTCTCTTCTAATATGATGAACGGCTCCATTCCACAAAGTATGGGACAACTCTCTCAGCTAGTTTCCCTCGATCTGTCTTCTAATCCTTGGGAGGGCAATCTAACAGAAGCCCATTTCATAAATCTTACCCGGTTACAAGATTTTAGAGCAGGAGGCAAAGATGACCACACGTCCTTCATTTTCGACATGGCGTATGATTGGGTTCCTCCATTCAAGCTCCACACAATTTATATCATAAATTGTCATATAGGTCCCGGTTTTGGGATATGGCTTCAATCTCAAACTGAACTGAGAGACATCAATCTTCGTGGTAATGGAATCTCGGATTCCTTACCAAAGGACTGGCTGTTAAAGATATCTTCCCAACTCATCCAACTAGACTTGTCTTACAACCAATTTCGTGGAAACCTTCCATCCAATTTGAAATCTCCAAAATTGGAGTTGATTGACTTGAGTCATAATCAGTTGGACGGCCCATTCCCACTTTGGTCGGCCACTAAGGTCACTAACTTTGATCTTCAAAGCAATTCCTTTTTCGGGCCAATTCCCTCCAATATTGACCAGATGATGCCCAATTTGAATTCTTTGTATCTTTCTAAGAATCATTTGAATGGCAATATTCCTCGCTCTATCTGTAACATGCAGCAATTGCAAGAATTGTCTCTTTTTGAGAATCATTTGAATGGCACTATTCCTCCCTTTGTTTACAACATGAAGCAGTTGCAAATCTTGTCTCTAAGGAGCAATCAATTTCACGGAGAATTTCGTCATGCATGGAGTGTGGGGAGCAATATGAGGTATCTAGATGTTAGTCAAAACAATCTCTCGGGTAATATTTCCACATCATTGGGGGTATTAATTTCACTGGAAGTATTAAAGCTCAACAACAACAATTTTGAAGGTGAAATTCCAAATTCCCTGCAAAATTGTTCTCAGTTGAGGAGTATTGATCTTGGAGACAACAAGTTATTTGGCAAAATACCACAGTGGATAGGAGGATTAAATGTATCCATGTTGAATATGATACGATTACGGTCCAACAATTTAGTGGACATATATCCCAGCAACTGTGCAATCTTCAACAACTTCATATCCTCGACCTTAGTCACAACAACATTTCAGGTACTATTCCCAAGTGTTTGGGTAATTTGGCTTCGCTGGTCAATGATTCATATACATCATATGATACTCTTTATGCCTCTAATGAGCAAACCACACTAACACTAAAAGGAAGGGAACTTGTGTACAATAATACTCTATATCTTGTAAAGAGCATTGATCTTTCATCAAATACTTTACAAGGTGAAATCCCTGAAGAAATAAGTAGCCTCATTCTATTGGGTACCTTGAACTTGTCTAGGAATCAATTGACTGGAAAGATCCCTTCCGAGATCGGAAACTTGCATTGGCTCGAAACACTTGATCTCTCACACAACCACCTTTCAGGACAGATTCCTCAAAGCTTGTCATCTTTAACCTCACTATCCCACTTGAACTTGTCTTACAACAACTTGTCTGGAAGAATTCCTTCAGGAAACCAGCTTCAAACGCTCATTGATCCGTCCATTTATATGGAAAATCCATCGCTATGCGGCGTTCCTTTCTCAACTAAGTGCCCTGGAGATGACACTTTCCCATCTAAGGATACAAAAGACATGAATGAAGGTGGAAATGATGAGTTGTGGTTCTATGTCAGCATGGTACTTGGCTTTATTGTAGGCTTTTGGGGGATTTGCGGCACATTGATCTTAAAGACATCATGGAGGTATGCATATTTTCAGTTCTTCGACAACATCAAAGACAAGGTAGCACTAGCAATTGCATTGAAAGTGGCTCGTTTTCAAAGAATGTTTTCTTATGTTTGATAGTACTATGTATATTTGTGGTTTCCTTTGTATTTGGTTTATAGGACTTGCAACTTATGTATTGAATAAAAAAAATTCTACCTTTCAATAAATGTTCCCACAAACAATTATGTATTAACTTGGAATTAATTAAAATTTCTAGTTTGTACTTATCAATCGCATAAGCCAAAAAAATTAGGGAAGGGGTAGTAACGTACAATCGCGTTTATTTCATAAAACGAAAATAAAGACCGCCGATTTAACGAGACGACTCAGACCTCTGCAACGGTCGACTGTTCTCATTCCGCTCCATCTCCGAAGATCAGAATCCGAGAAGAGCAAGAGATATCTCCAAAATGACGTCGTTTAAGGTACGCTTCCTCCTACAAATCTATCGATAAACTATCGTTTCCATGTAATTCTTGAGAAATCGAATTTATTCGAAAAATCAATTCAATTGGGGCTGCGTTTTGAAATTTGAATTACTGTTCGTACAATTATGGGTTTCTTTTGTGGAAGTTGCTTTCTCGTGAATTTTGTCTTGAACTGATTGAAATTCTCTCGGTTTTTCTAGAAATTGGATCATCGGCAGAGCACTACGACACTTGTAGAGAGATGGAAAATGTTGGCTGCTAAGGTCGGAAAAATCCATAAAGGTTTTCGATTCCCGGATAACTTTCTTTGATTTCTTTCTCTGGTTTTTCCTTTGGATGAAATCAGTTCTGACATCTGCGAAACCCTGCTTGGTTTTTCGTAATTTTCAGCCAGAATTCGGCCTAGGACAGAAAACTCAACATGCTCACGTGGTGTGGAACCGCAATTCTTGGTTCTTCTGCTGGTTTTAAGGTCTTGTGGTGGTGATTTATTTACTTCTGACCTTCTTTTTCGATATTTTAAGGTTTATACAGAAAGTGACACTGCCAAAGCTGATGCCGGGATCGGGTAATTGTAGTTTTAAATTTGTGCAATTTCTTTTCCATTATTGAATGTTGTGGTTTTAATCAATGTCTAAGTTGTTGTAGAACTGAGATCAACTAAGCCTTCGTTCCACAATTTAAATCTTCCGATTTGTATTGGTATGTAACAATGCTAACAATTCAAATAGAATGGGAGCCTTGTACAATGATGTAGCTAAGTAGAGGCCAAAAAGTATTTGATATTATCCGTATCTGCCCACTTCCTGCAAGTTTTTGGCAATTACGTAGATTGTAAGGGGGAATTATATCTGTGTGCTGCTTTTAATTTCAGGAGTTATGCAACAGTTAACAAAGTATCGACTGTGGAGAATACAGCTGCTTTAAAGGTAACTAACGACCTCCTTATTCCGCTGCTTGTTTTGAGGTGGATTGGGATGGAGTGTTGTTTCTTTTGATAAGGAGTTTTTGTTTTAATTATATATTTACTGCTATCTATAAATTGTTTTGTTATCAAGGCTGGTTTGAAAAGTATGGAGAAGCAAAAAGGCATACTTGGTAGTTCTGCAGGTAAGGTTCAACGACACTGTACTTGTTATGCAAAGTTGAGTTACACATTTTGAATCTGTTCTGTTTTCAAATTTTTGTTGTCCTTATCTTAGCAAATGCAAATGTTGGAAGAAGACCATTGGCCGACGTCAGCAATGTTCAAAGCAACTCTTCTAGGATTGTTGGGGGTGATGCCTCTAAAGGAAAGTTGGTACCTTTTCATTTGCTCATATAGTTCCTTCATTTTTGGATTTTGAGCTAAGAAGTTCTAAATTTGGGCCATCTTAAATGCAGGAGCGGTAAAGGTGAGAGGATTAAATCTTTGCAGCAGTATGCGTTTTGATATTATGATACCTATACGTGCTTGTGAATTCAATATTCTTTTGATATTTTGATATAACTGTAGATGTTAGCAAAGGTGTGAGTAGGTTCGAGATCCTTTGCTTTTACTGTTGCTTTAATGTAGTATTGAATTCTTTTGTATTTTTGTAGGGTTTCAGTGGGTACAGGCGTTCAGACTGAATTGATCATCAAGGATATCCTCCTGGTAAGAATGTTAAATCCTAGCATGCATTTTCCTTGTAACTCTCTTATTTACATGATTGCATAGTATGTTGTTCTACTGACTTCAGTAGATATCTCTCTGTAATCTGAAAATGAACAAAAGAGCCCTCATATGAGTGGTTCAAAGATGTCACAGTCACTTACAGCCTTTAAGCAGGGTACTTCAAGTTAGTTTTCATATATAGTTCTACCCCCAAACCGGACAAAAGTTACAAAACTTAAAAGTTTTCTTCCTGTCCATGTTTTGCTTTTTGAAGGTCAACTTTCCATTGTTCTGTTGTATGTTTGACAACGCAAAGACAGGGTTTTGTTTTGCTTGACAAGTTTAGCGAGTATCAACGCCAATCATTTCATATATTGTTGTTCTTCCAATTGTAAGAATTGTTTTTTTGTGTTACTTCAATCAGGGAAAAGGGCGGGAAAGCTTTAATACTTCAGAAATGCTGGTGTAGTTTCCCGGATTCAATTGTACCATTTGAATTTCTTTTTATTATGGATAAACCTGTAGCTATTAAAGACTTGAAAGCACCTTCAGAGAATCAAAGGACCAAGGCTATGGGTCTAAACCGTGAATCTATTGTTACAGATGGCAGCTCTGAGCCACCTTTGTTTCCCTCTTCATAAGAAATTAGAAATTGTGCCGCAATTTGTTTGTTGTGCCTTTGTAATATTGACATGTTTGTTTATTTACTGTGAATAAGATCTGTATCTGATATTGATGTATTTTCTATTTCCTCTCTCCATTTTAAATGAAATCATTGCTGGTGCTAGAGGTCAACCCAGAGGAAGCAAGTATTCCGAAGGTTGATGTCTTGCATTATATTAATGTTCTTTGGTTCAGTTTAACAGGAGTAGGATATCAAGTTGGACATTTATATTTTTTGCTTACCTGCTTGTAGGAAAATGCTGGTAGAAATTCTGAAGGAAAAAGAGGGTATTATGGTAAGATGCTGTGAATAGTTAAGATTTGACGAGTGCGTGGCACATGATGTCTGACCAAGTGGCATTTTGGAATACAATTAAGGCTACGGTTGGCAAGATAGTAGTACCTAGAGTAGACGATACCACGAGGAACCATCTGTTGAGGAATCGAGTAAGTGATGTCTTTGTGATTATGCGAGTGACAGTGATCCATACTACTAGTTTTCTATCCCGCTTAAAGCGAGTTAAAAGGTTTTGCTGATACTGGTGCATATTCCTTTAAACCTCATTTTGCTTCTGAATGAATGGAATGGAAGCATCTTTCTTGCATTTTACGGATAGGATTGTTTGTTCTCACTTCAGGCATGACTAATATGTCAATTTCAGAACTCAAAGCAAATAGCAGCAGATGCAGAAGTAAAACTATAAGGGAGTACAACAAAGAACTTGTATTCTGCAGTTCACCCCCAATTTTATGAATCTTGTGGTTCCTCCCAGTTATTTTTAGATCTTTCTAATATTGTCCTGGAAAAGGAAAATTTTTAGATCTTCCTCCCAAATTTAATGCTACATGTGAATACAATTTTTAGTCTTGAAAGTTACAGCATATAGATTTCGAATGGCTGCATTGGAGAGTTTGGTTTTAGGTATAGTCACATTGTTTTCTAGTCTTGATGGGCTTCTGTATTCATTTTATTCTTTTTTACTACGATAGTTTGAATTACTACATTCATTAACTTTCTAATTCATTGAATGTCTCCTATGTTGAATGATCATTTAAGCTTTTATGTCTTAATTAAACACGGTTGAGATTTCTATCTATTAATAGTTTGCATGTGATTTGAGATTGCAGGGGTCAGCGTAATTCAATTCTCCGTGTGTTGCTACGAAATTCTGTCAGGGTAAGTCTAATGAGATATATAACTCATGCCCCTCCTCCTCCTCAAATGAGGAAAAAAGAATTAATGTGTCGTTTTGTTTGACCAGTTCTGAAATGTAGTTGCTCAAGTTTGTCTACTTCAGACAGTAAAACAATTTCATTTGTGTTGCCATATTTTACTTTCAGTACTTCAACAATCTGTCAGTTTTTTTAAAGTCATTTGGTCCTGAAATCTGTTGACTTGTGTTATTGCTTAACATGGCAACCATTTTGGCATCAACTTGAAGGATTACAGCAGTGCATTCAATTAAGTACTTCACCTGAGTGATTGCTTTACATTACCATGAGATTACTGCATCATCCTGACTTGTTTCTTCACATGTTAGATCTATATGAAATAGATGTACGTTCTATTTATCTTCCCTTTAATTTTATTACGATCCAGCCAACTTTGTCCACACTGAAGGCTCGTGAGTCGCAAAGGGCTTTGAAATCCAAGGGTGCATCAGGTCCAAACAAATTAGTTTCTGCTACTGCAACTTCATCCAAAACTGAAAAAGTGGTCTCTTCCTGTCTTCCTGAGAACGTTAAGCATGAAGCCACTCAGGGAGGGCTCCCATCTGAAGCCAGCTGCAGCCTTGGTGCTTCAACTATCATTTCCAGGAGAAAATCAAATAGGATGAGATCTTAGACATCTCTATTCATGACTGGATCAAAGGTTGGGGCTTACTGTGTTCTATTGATGCCTTTATTCCTTACTCGTGAACTACATTCACACTTGGCCCCATTTGCAGTTATTAGAGGACCGTGTTGAAGCTTTGAAGGCAGAAGAGATGCCAAGCATTGATGACGACTGCAATCAACCGGAAGTTTCCGATTATGTTGATAAGATCTATCAGTATTACTGGGTTTCTGAGGTAATGGTTATGATGTCTCTATACCACTGTTTTCATCTTAGTCTGGTAAGATAGTAGGTTTTGTGTAGTTCTAATTCTGACTTGTTGGCTTTGTTAAATTGTCTTTAACTGCAGGCACAGAATCAACCTCCAGAAAATTTAATGTCGATTCAGGCAGACATTGCTCCTCATATGCGAGGCATATTGGTCAACTGGTTAATTGAAGTACCGATTTAACCTTTTGATGAACTATGATGTTTTTGTATTCCTTTTTGTCTTGCTTTGTTCAATTTTACATTTCATGATGTTTAATAGCTGGCTATCCCCTTTATTTGTTCATCCGGAAACAGGTACACTACAAATTCGAGTTAATGCAAGAAACTCTTTATCTCGTGGTGACATTGCTCGATCAATATCTTTCCCAAGTCACAATTAAGAAGATGACATGCAGTTAGTTGGTCTCACTGCACTCTTGTTGGCATCAAGTATGAGGACTTTTGGCATCCAAGGGTAAATATCAATATCTCAAACTTGTATGCATTATTTTTCATGATTTTTTTTCTAGTTCTCTACAAGAAAAATTGCAGGTCAAAGATAGCATCTCAGCTGAGACATACACGAGAGCACAGGTGCTTGGAATGGTATGTGTTTTTCTTAGTCAGACTCGGATTATTTCAGTATATCTGTTTTGTTAGAATCTGGAAATATCCTTGTGCATATCTTCTGAGATGAAAAATAATGCTGCATTCTATAGTCCCTTTTCGCTTGTCCTATGATAAAGTCTTTGCTTTTTAGGAGAAAGCCCTTCTGAAAAAGCTGAATTTTCGTCTTAATGCACCTACTCCATATGTCTTCAAAGATTTCTCAAGGCTGCTCAGTCAGAAACAAAGGTATAGTTTCTAAGGCTAACAGACAGAATTTTCTATTAATGATTAACACCATTACTAAAAAAGAAAGAGATTGATACGCCAGAGTTTAGTAGGTATTAGTTTTCGATATGGATTAGAAAACAGCAAAGTTGCTAACAGTCTGTTACTTTGCGGACTGTTTTGCAGCTTGAACACTTGGCATTCTACCTTATCGAGTTGTGCTTAGTTGAATATGAACCGTTAAGGTTCAAGCCCTCATTGCTGTGCGCAGCAGCCCTATATGTTGCAAGGTGCACCCTGCAGATTACTCCGGCTTGGACTCCGCTGCTCTGCAAACACTCTCGTTATGAAGTATCCCAAATCAGGTACTGCTTTAAAGACAAGTAAACAACATTGTTTCCTTATCTAGTGCTTGCTTCAGAATAAATTTTAGTGATCGATGTTTGATCGTTGCAGAGACTGTTCAGAGATGGTCTTAAGATTTCACAAAGCTGCAAGAATGGGAAGTTTGTAGGTCACATACGAAAAGTATTCTAGCCCTGATCTCAGTTGTGTTGCAGTGATAAAACCGTTGGACACACTTCCACTCTGATTCAGCTCAGAGGGGTGAAGATAAGAATGTTAACAAATCAAGGGATAAAGACTTCAGCATCATCTGGTAGACATGTTTTCCCCCGCAGTTGTTGAAGCATGTGTAGCAGGACAAAATTCTGCTTGTATTTCATATTGATCTAACACGATGAAGGCCATCCATCAAGCTTGTCGTAAAGAAGCCATATTTCGTAGCGCATCTACTGATGGCGTCTGTCTACTCAACGGTTTTCAAGATTGTAAAATCTTTTGTTCATTTGGTACCGCAATTCACATCAGTATGTTGTGTTGCACGCGTTTATGTTATGATCTCATAGAAGTGTAACAACATCATGTTGTTGCTAAGAAATTATGACCTCAAACTGAACACAACGTTGTTGTGATAACTATTGCTGTGTGAATCTAGTTTCTTGTTAATGGTACATATTGCATTGATCAATCATTATATTATCTCCCTTTATCTTTTGATAGATCCAAATTAGCTCTTAATTAACGTTACACGGTCTGATTTTAATGACTAGTACTTGTTTACGTAAGCGAACATATTTGTTGATGAGCCGTGACTCAAGTTGCAGGGGTAGGGTGAAAGTAGATCCTAGATTCGATTCCCGTTTTAAAGAAAAACCAAACCAGTTTTCGCATGGATCTTCACTAGGGGTGGGTTCAAAAAACCGAAAACCGAAAAAAACCGAAAACCGAACCGGACCGAGGCCGAAAAAAATCGAACCGTAAAAAAACCGAACCGAATCTGACCAGTTCGGTTTCGGTTTTTGAGGTTCAGAAACCGAACCGAACCGATATATATATATATTTTTTTTTTGAATATTTATAAATAGTTTAGTCATACAATCATAACAAAACAGAACCTGTTGCTAAGTTGGTTTCAGTGAAACTTTACAATCCTGGAGGAATGGGTTCGAACCCTTATGCCTCCAGGATTTGTAAGATTATTTTTAATTTTTTAATCTTTTTAACAAAACCCTTTAACTGTAACCCTAGGTCCCTAACCCTCCTCTTCCTTATTTTTCATTCCGCCTCCTTATTTTTCAATCACTCTCTGTCTATCTCAAACTCTCTGTCTCTCTCAAGCTTCAAGAAAATCCTCCCCCATAGTGACGAATGAGGCTGTGCAAAAGGCTGTAAGTTTTTGAGTTTTTTATGTTTAAATATCTTAAATTGACATGCAGTGATTATCTTTCACTTATTGGAGTATCATTCTTTCTTGCACAGGTTGCTGCTCTGAAGGGCTCTGACCACGGCCGACCCACAAATGTGAGTACAAGGCTGGATTCTTTCTCTCTCTCTCTCTCTCTCTCTCTCTCTCTCTCTCTCTCTCTCTCCTTCTCTTCGTGCATTTGTGCTAGTCTGTATATATATTCACACACAGATATAAAACTTAAATGATGAAATGAACGAAAACAATTCCAGAACTTTCAAGTGGAAGTACAGACCTCTGGAGCCATCCACCTATAAGTCCCAGTTTCTGCTGTCATTACTCCAGATTGAGATTTTACTCTAGCAACCCCGAAATCAGCAACCTTAACAACCTGTAAAGTGATGCATATATCAAAAAGGCTTTAGAAATGGTAGGTTAATGATCATTAAAATATTAGCAGCTAAACTAGACAAAGAATTACTTTTCTAACTTGATTAAAGTATCATGAGGGTCTCTTACTTCATTTTCATCCATCAAGAGATTGGCGGCTTTTAAATCCCTGTGGATTATGTTATTTTGATGCAAGTAGGTCATTCCTTTGGAAACATCAATTGCGACCTTGAGCAAGGATGGAAGCTTAACTTAGTGCAGTTTGATTTTTCATGCATTTCATTCTTAATCAAATTGCATCTAACTTAGTGCAGTTTCTTAAGAACCCATTCCATTGTCATGACTTCATATTAAATTGTTAAAACATATATGTGCATCGTACCTTTGCTTATTATATGTTTTGTATCTTAATTAGATGAAGTCAAGTGCATCAAAGGCCTCGAGCTCAAGCTCAAACTCAATGAGACTATTTTAATTATTCCATTTGGTTTTGTTAGAACTTAGACTATTTTAATTACATGCTTGCTTTACATCATGTTGACATGTTTCATTTTTTATTTGTATGTAGAAATGGCAAGTGGAAACTCAAACAAAGGTGCTATGTTGCCGCCTAGGCCGCCTAAGCATTGAGCTTGAGAACTTGGAAGATTTTATTTGTCCCAAGACATGAAATGATGAAACGTTGGAAGATTTTATGTCAAATGTAGATGTGTAAAATTGATTTCATACTTGTAGGTTTTCATGTGGATGACTTTGAAGAAAAAACCAAACCGGTTCTCGCATGGATCTTCACTGCAGGAAGACCTTGGACATAGCAGAACAGGTTTGTCTGCTCCGAAATGTGCACGAAATTGGCTTGTCCGAGATGCAGTTAGTTAGAAAGCCGTTTCTGTCAAGAAATGAAGCCTGATGGAGGATATCAAGCAGAACATTTTCCGAATGGTTGATAGGCTCGAAGTAAAGAAGCGAAACAAAGGTCACAAGTGGAGAGAAACATAACTCCGAGTAGAACATACGTGCATTTGACTAGTAATGACAAGAAACTACTGAGAACAGCGACCGGACCAGATAACGAAGCGATGAAGGAGGCAGAATCGATCATGTAAAGCAACATTATAAATGGAAAACAAAATTTATTAAATGAAACAAGATTTCATATATACTATTCCGACCTGTATAAGCTCAAAAAATGTAGCCTAGCTTCTTTGCCTCCACCACCACAAGAAGTATATATTGAACTCTGCAGGATCTCCCTATGTATATACAACCTTGATCTTCAACAAAAACCATTATCTGCTATCTACCAACATATAATACAAAACGTAATGCACAAGTACATATACGTTACATATTCTACCGTATAGATTAATATCAGAAGTAGCTCAATCAGCTAACCAAACCATCTTGTGGAAGCAAGTAACCATCCCGATTCAAAGTCCCCCTCACTGCTCGATAAAACTCCAACCACGAAGATGAGTACGCATCTGCAGGACCCCACAGAAATGTCAGATTAGGACTAGCAGGGCCTGGTGCCATTAAATCCAACACTGATGCAGCTGGTTTGAGCTTCTGTGGAAAGTTAAACGCCAAGTTATCAACTTTATGTTCATATATTTTGCCCTTTCGGTCCAATTTATACCGCGAGGTGCCCTGAAACTGACCCTTCGCTTCCCATGGAACTCGAGGAACACCCTTCATGTTCCACCTTATCAGTATCACATTCTCTGAAGGCTGCCAAATCCTATAAACCTCGAGGGAGATATCGCGGAACAGAATCTTTCCATGAAATCGCAATGCCCAGAAGATCAATTTGTAATTCTCAATGCCAGTGAATGTGTTCAAAGGATCCATAAATGTTATATCATCCCTGAAATTCATCAAATTCCACAAATGAATCCCATCAAATGCAACTCTACATTTCCAGTAACATATTAAACAATTACAAAATCATCAAATTTCAAACAACAATTCAATCTATGATGTCAATTCTAAAACTACCAAACAATTTAATGAATGTATAAACATTCTGATAAACCAAACACTAGCAAAGAAAAATTAAGAAACCCAGATGAACAAATTACCTATAAATGTCATAATTAAGGTCCTTGGCGAAAATTAAAGGGACATCTTCACGAAGCGTCCGTACAGCCAGGCCAAGATTGACATAAAAATCGTCCCTTTGCTGCTTATCCTGCGCAACCCTGGAGGTGTCAAGCTGCGCACCCTCCAACAAAGTGGGCGTCTGTACGCTGGCCAGAGGAGAGAGGTGAGAGAAAGAAAAACTGGGTCTTGTCTGGGAGAGCATTTGGTGAAAGGGTTTTTCTTTTGGTTTGGTTTGGAGGAGTAAGGAGGAAGCAGAGAAATTTGGTAGCAGAAAAGCCATTGCCTTCTCTCTGTTATCTGGTCTCCGAGTTCACGTGCTCATGTGAAAAGCTTTCTAGAGAGAGAAAGGGAAGGATTTACAGTTTTAGAGAGAGAGAGAGAGAGAGAGAGAGAGAAGATGATTTTTGAGAGCTCTGTGTCTTGTGTGTGCGTGTGGGTTGGAGGACAGAGCATAATTTGGTGTTGGCGTTGGTGTTGATATATTGAGTGGTTTTGAAGATGGCCATGAATGTGTCTCGTGTTCCGATTGATTGGAAGGGCTTCAAAGTTGAAAGTGGACCAAAGTGAAAGAAATAATATTTGTGGCTCTTGCACTTTCACCCCCTTAACTTTGCTCTATTTCTTTCAATTTTCTTTTGGATTTTGGTATCATGACGTGCAAAAATCTTCTTGCTCTCAAGCCCCTTTATTCTCCAAAAATTAACTTTGTTGGCATCTTAAAACTTTCTTATTAGCCCCTTTAAAGACGTGAGAATAGCCATATTTGTTAACGAGCTGATATGTTTCATTTATGCATCATAGTTTGATATCTCTTTGGGCAAAGTTGAATACAGCATGGGTTTAGCCAGTTTGGCTAAAACAACGCGTTTCCCCTCCTACACTCAATTTCGAATTCCTCGTCTTTATATAAAATCAAATTTAAAAATAAAGAAAGAAGACCCTTCCTTTCTTTTCAACTTTCAATTGTATTCTAAGTTCTAACTCATTCAACAAAAAAGAATTGAACCTTAGGATTTAATTTATATCTCCAAGTAATTAAAGAATATTTCTCCCGCATTCAAGGTCTTCGGTTTGATTTTCTCCTTTGTTAATATCACTTGTATTGGGAAATAAAAGATAAACACCTAGACTTTCTAATTGATGATCTCATCCTATTACATCCCCTCTCACTTTCATTGGTCATCTGTAAAGCACTGAGAAGTTTCAACAAAGAGATTAATGTTTGTTTCACATTTCATGGGTATTCAATTCAAACACATAATAATACTAGTATGCAGTCTTTAGCCAAGATGCCTCCTTTCACAAGAAAGAGAATAACAAGATAAACTTGCTCTTTAAACCTTTTGGTATTAAACCAAAGCATATCTTCCTTCAAAACTCTAATAACATCCAAACTGATTATCCTGACGAATACGATCTTTCTCTTCAATCTACTACATTTCAGGTTCAAACTCTCTTCATGTAAATGTAACTTAGAGTAGTAATATCGTTTGTAATAATAATAATAATAATAAAAAGTGAAAGAACTAAACTCATTTTCTTGTTGGATGGGAGGAGGATAGGAATCGAAGAAGATAATGAAATCTTATCCCCAAGGGCCAAGAGTGAAGACCAAATTTGAGTTAGAAATGTACAAGTGCACATTGTCTATGAGGTGGGGCCATGCCTAATTGTCTGCCTTCTTAGTTTGATTGGAATGTAGATGGGAAGGGTTCGAAGAACCCAAGTAGGAAGAATGACAAAACGATGCAAAAGGTTAAGCCATTCCCAAGAATCTTCAAATTCAGAAAGCACATTCCTTTTAGGATATACCCATTCCAATTGTGTACCTTCCAATTCCACTTTTTTCATTTTAGGATATACCAACTGTGTACCTTTGAATTGAGGAAGCACATTCATTTTAGGATATACCAATTGCGCACCTTACATTATATTCCATGTTAACGTTAACTAATGTTTGGTGTTGCAATTTAGTACTAAGGTCTAGTGATATTTCTCTTCAATTGTAAGTGAGAGATCTTAGGCTCAATTCTAGCCAAAGGCGAATTTAAACCACATTATTGCTAACCCATTGTGAGGCTTAGCTCACCCCTCCCCTTAGTGTAGATAATATCGCATGTTCAAAAAAAAAAATGTTTGGTGTTATTTCCTGTGTTTAAATGAGAGAATTGAAATTTTATGGTGTTAACGCAAAATCCTTTTAGACCCTAAAGAAAATGGACCCGTTGAGGTGGGCCTGGAGAATGAAAGGAAGATCAAAGAATTGCTTCTTAGCTAGCCCAATAAGAAGGGACTCCGATCACTACAGATGACCGCTCGATGGTATGGATCAAGTATCAACAAAGAAGACGAGTGCCTATTCAGAAAGTACTTTCCGACCACTTGGAACAAGTTAGCAAATTGAAAACTTAATAGAACGAAGCCCCAGAGATAGGCCTACTCAGACATTAACTCTAAGCAATGTGTTGGCCATCAACGAGAGCAGAGGTTTACGATCAAACATAAAGGTTGTCAAATCAAGCGCTCAAGTCGGTGTTTCCTCAGCCACTTGGGGCCAAGCAGATCGGTCGGTACGTGTTGGCCCATAAAACCTTGTAACTAGTTATGAGCAAGGCCCACTTCACCTACACGTGTCGACTGAGTAAAAGAGTAGCCAACAAAATAAGCCTACACACCTAGTTCATTTAACGCTAAAGCGGTGGAATACTAAAAAGCCCACGACTTTTGGGACTCATAGGAAGCTTATATAAGAGAGACGAGTACCTCTTATAAGCGCTCGAGCACACAAGAGAGAAAAAATAACATTGATACATAGCACTTCTTAACTCATATCAAATATATACCACTACAATGTACGTAGCTCAGATTTGAGGGTAAACCACTTAAATTTTGTTGTCAATTACTTGTAGCCTTTATTTCGAGCCCATCAAGAACCGACCATACTGTTGACTTGGCAATTTTAAGTGTTAACATATGGAACTTGAATTAAACTTGTTTGAAGTGCACTACAAAAATTAAATTGGGTTGAACTATAAAAATTAAATTAGGTGGGACTTGGTAGTGACTGAACGCAATGCATTTCGGAGAAGGTTTTTGTTTAGTGTTTGGCGGTGCATTCAGGGGCACAAAAATACCTATGAAGATCCTACGAGGACCCTCCGAATATTTGGGCAGGAGCACAATCCTAGGGCTAGGCCTATATAGGCTACAATCCAAGAAGTTTTTTCCGTATTGTTAAACCACAAATAGTTATAGGCATACATCCATGAAGGGGGGTGAATAAGTTGCAGGCTTGTAGCGAGCTCCACATGAGGAAGAAGCCTAATCTTTCCTTCAACGTTGTCGTTTCTTGCTGGACCTTACTAGCTTTAAATGAAATGGGTCGTTTACTATGTTTGAGCTTCTTAGCATGTTGAATTTTTTTTTTTTAACAAACGATATTATTTAAATTAAAATCATCTTAAACTCTTAAATTAAAACCTAAAATTGTTGGTGCGTAAATTCGATGTAATGTGAACCTTACATCTAATCTCTATTTTTATAAAAGAATGGGAATCCATTTTACCTCCCTGTATGAGAATGTTCTTGTGAATTTTACAAGAAAACCTGCGGCCATACCCACAATTACATTCAATTGGTTCAATTTTAACAGTTAGATCTGAAGTTAAAGGAATGTGGGAACATCTGAATGCATAAAACCTTAGAAAAAGGAAAATGCCAGAATCTCAACTCCCAATCTCTGGGCAACGTACAGCACTGAAAGGCCTACTGCATTTAGAACATCAGAGACTCTAATTTGTTGCCTTTCCAAACCCCAATTATTTTCGAATGTAGGAACATCTGAATGCATAAACCCTTTTGAAAGTTAAGGGGAAATGCCAGAATCTCAGTTCCCAGCTTCTTATCGGCAACGTACAGCACTAATTACGCTATCGAAACAAGCGAATCAGAGACTCTAATTTGTTGCCTTTTTCAATCACCAAATCCAACCAATTTCAATGCTTTTTCAATCATGCAAATTACCCAATCGAAAAAAGACAACAACTTTGCCTAAATCAACAGAAAATATGAATAAAACAAGGCTCAGCGTGTAAAGTCAAGTTGGCATCAACAAGCCCAAAATCCAGAGCTCTCAAAGTTTGATGGTATACAGATTTAATCATCACTGCCTCTCTTTCGAAAACCCAACATCTACAAATTAAAATACTTTTCAAGAACAAATTAAAAGGGTAGGAGGGCTCAGAGGCTAGTGATTCAAACATCAAAGATACCAAAATATCTCAGATGGTACGGACAATACAGTATCACCGGCCAATTTCACCCCCAGATAAAAACAGAGGGTCGAAGGAGGAGGAAGGAGGAGGAAGGAGGACGGAGGAGGGGCAAACTACATACTGAGATGGTTGATGGGAGGTTCCGGAGGTGGGTTTAAATAGTAGAGACAATAACCAATCGAAACCCTAGTTGTGTAAAGTTACTATGATGCCCTTCGTTGAGATGGGCTTTGTTTGTTGTGAAACCCGAATTGAGAAAATGGAGGCCCAAGTTTTTTCAAGGCAACTTGGGATACGAAGGTATAGAAATTGACTGCATATGCTTTTTCCTGAGCGAACGGTTGAGATTGCTGCTATCTAGTTTTGCTGTTCCTTTTTGCCCTTCGTGCGCAGGAGAGCAAAGCTCTATGAAGGTTCATACCTAAGACTGCTACAACCTAGTTTTGCTATTCCTTTGGAAACGAGTGCTTTTAGCCTACTCGTGATAGAAAGAACCATACAAGAAAGTCAATTTAAATCTAGTACAAATATGAACTTGTTATTGGTTTAGTGATATTGAGCTTAAAAATTTTGTTAAATATTTTTGTCGTACTAAAGAGGTTTTGCGTAATTAGTGTTTCAAAATCCCCTACATACGAACTAAATGCGCCACCATTAGTTCAAATAATAGTTTGCGCGACGAACAAGTAAAAAAGGGTCACCTAAAAATTAGCCTAACGGAAACTGCGTCGTGCGCAAACTATCTTGCAAAGGCCGTGAAAGCAGGGTTTGCGTGAAGAAGGCGTAACCTGCATCCTGCAAAAGTTTTCGCATGATGCATCTTGCTCTTATTGTCACGCAAAGAAAAGTGCACGACACATGTATTGTTGTCATTGCGCAAACCCTTTTTTATTTTTTTTGACAAAAGATTTTTTATTTTATTTTTTTATAAATATTTTAATTAAATTATAAATAATAATTAATAAACCAAGAAAAAGCATTTAATTATAAAATATATGAAAATGTACATACAAGCTATTCGAACAGAAAAGAAAAAAAAACTACAAGTAGTTGTCTGGGTTTAATGCATCAGGCTGCTGGGTATCGACTAGGCGAAATAGCTAGAAGGTCGAAGGTGGAGCAAGATCAGTTGCTGGCATCGAGATTTGGAGGCTGAACATTTATAAGGCCCATAAGGGCTATAGTCTGGGCTTTCAAGGCATCCCAGGTTGCTTTCAGGGCATCCCAATCTGCTTTCAGGGCATCCCAGGTTGCTTTATGGGCATCCCAATCTGCTTTCAGGGCATCCCAGGTTGCTTTATGGGCCGCAATATTATCTTTTAGGATTTTCACTTCCTCCGTCAGGTCAATAACTTGTCCTGTGGTCGATTTAGAAGAGGAGGCACTCGTCTCACGAACCTGCACCTTCCCCATACCCCGAACAACCTTGCCATGACGACAACCGAGCTTCTGATCCACCCTATACGAGAAGGGCATCGAACCAGAATGGTGGAGAAGTGTCTCTATCTCCCAAGCTTTCTTGCCAACAACAGATCTCTTCTGTTAAACACACAATATACATGTTAGTGCAACTATTTGAAAGAAATTATTAAAAAAGCTTAAAAATAATAAAACATTAATAAATTATTATTAAAATATTATGTACATACCACAAATTTTGTATCCGTAAAATGTTTGCAGAGCCACTCCCAATCTTCCGGCCGCTCCAACAACTCAACTGGGCAACCCTCTAGACAAGCAATCTCCGGATCATCCCATTTCTTAAAATGCGCATGGAGTTCGCACTTCCAATGTTTGTATTGGGTTGCTAAGTTCTCCTCTAAGTAGGCGGTGGCCTCCAGGGGTATGTCCTCAAGATTATAATTGACCTACAAATATAAAAATGGTAAAATAATAGTAAGAAATTTAATAATATTAAGATAATATACTTTGGTTTATAATATTTGTAAACAAAATTAAAAAATGATAACGACTATAAATTAATATATTAACCGACAACTCATGCCGCAACAGTTTCTTTGTCCTCTCGGGAATTTCTGCCCAAGACTCCCACTGCATAGGACAATGCCACCGAATAAAAAAACCACAACTATTAGCGATGCTGCTATGCTGCTGTGAGGTAGCCGCTCCACGATGTTGCAAGTCATACGCAATCTTGATCAATTCGTTGGATAGACGTACTGTGTGTGTCAGCTTCAACATTTGATTAGGCCCCCTGGATTTTTTTTTAGCTGCCGAAAAAAACTTAAATGGTGAAAACCCTAATCTTAATTTCTACAGAAAATTCGACAAAACCTCCCCTACTAGTATAGCATTCCCAAAACCTAAACAGTAAAATGATAGTAATGCACACTCACAACACAAAATTCACAATCCAGCAAATTTTCACAATCATAAAAAATAATAGTTTTAAAATGAAAAAAAATACAACAAAGTGAGAATTAGAAAAAAAAACTACCTGGCTGGGAGCCCCCACCCTCGACTGTGGATGTCGAGGAGGTGTGATCAAAAGGCTCTGGATGGCGGCGACGCCGATAGGGGCGTTGTGCATTGAGCGGCTGAACTGACACTGACGACGTCGATGATGCGGGCACCTGAGACGACCTAGGAGTAGCCTCAATAATGGGTGTAGGTTCCCCAATCAATGGAGCACTCACGACTGAAGCAGTAGGTGCTGAAAATGCAGGAGGCGCATTGGTCACACCCCGACGACGAGTAATCAACTGCGACATCTATACAATTTTTTAACCATAAAAATATAACATTAGAAATTAATCATTTCTTGCATTTGAAACTAATCAATTAGCAGCCAAAGTGATGTTTTGGTTTTCTCTTGATTAGAATCAAACAATCAAACACTATTTTTCAATTTCAGCTAAATCTGAAATTTCAATCTATAATTCTCATCAAGCACAACGTTCCACAATGTAACAAACACAGAACACCTTGCTGATCTTTCACAATGGGGAGAGGGATCAGTTGGGGGCTGAGGGTGGGGGTGATGTTATTTTCTCTCTGCTAAAGCGACATTATCCACTAGTGATCAATGAGAGCAATCTTTTACAACAAATTGCAGGTAACACAACAATCTTGATCATGGGCAGTCCACATCTGTCCCATGATTGACCATGTGGAGCTACGATCGAATATAAACATTGGAAAAGTCATCAAATTTACATGATACAGGTAGCACTCCAAGCTTCAGGAAGCTAACACATATTCAACATTCTTTACCATAAAAGATTAGACAGATAAATTGTCTTTAAAAGAAATAATTCAGTAATTGTATGCAGGATGACAACATACATATGCTATTACGAACAGCAATTTGATGACTTTCGCGGTAGAAATCCAAAATCCAAAAAGGTAGAAATCCCTAAAATCCCCAAATCATGCGAATCAGCAATTCATTCAACCCACGTCGATTGACATAAAAATCTCAAAAATTAAGACAAACCCAATTCATATCTCACCAAATCAAGCCTGCCCATGTCCACAACAAAACAAATAATCCATTTGAGACCCAAAAGAAAGCTACTTTCGCGGTAAAATCAAGAACAAGAATACCAAATTACCAATCGGTCATGTAAGGTGAAAAGAATGAATGGAGGAAGAAACAGAGGAGGGTAGAGAGAGTACCAGGAAGAGATCGACGAGGATGTGGTCAGGGAGAGGAGAGAGATCGGATATACTGTGCAACTCCCACCTTAACTGGAGTGGTCTCTGAAGGGAAGAATGAGAACACCTAGCCTAGGGTTACTCAAAGCAAAAAGCGCCCATCTTTTCCAATCGAATTTTAAAAAAAACAAACCATCCATTTTTTTCCAATTAAACCGCTAAAATTTTAACAAATTGTGCGACACTTGTATACATTACGACGTCGGGCTATGAGTGTTTGGGCAACAATTCTATTATGGGGTTGCTATTTAAAAAAAAAAAATTTATTATCTATATAAAATAAATAAAATTTAAAGCTACTTAATAAATATATATATCATTCAATTTAACAGGTTTACATTAATCATCATCCGAACTACAATTTAACGATTACTTTAACTCTGATTTTGATGATTTTTTTTACAGCTACACTTTTTACCCTTTATGAATACAATAAATGAATTAGATCTTCACTTTAGAATATTACTAGTGGATACCACAAAAACTTATGTTATACTTAATGAAAGTATAAAACAAACTGTTAAGTGTTAGTGAATCTATCATTTTGATGGGATACGTATTCTATGAAACTAGTTTCAACGATCCAACCTCAAACTTGTTTGTATATACTTCGTGATCACATATGCCAAAAATCGCAGAAAACAAACATTAGAGATCAAGTAATAGGACAAAACTTTTCGACGATTATAAACCAAAAATCACAATTTAATGGTTACTTTAACTCCAATTTTGATGATTTTTTACAGCTACACTCCTTAACCCTATATGAATACAATGAATGATTTTGATCTTCAATTTAAAATATTTACATTAGTGAATACCACAAAATCTTATATTATACTTAATGAAAGTATAAAGAAACTCTTAAGTATTAGTGAATCTACCGTTTTGATGGGATACGTTTTCTACGAAACTAGTTTCAAAGATCCAACCTTCAAACCTGTTTATATATACTTCAAGATCGCATACACCAAAAATCGCAAAAAATAAACATTCAGAGATCAAGTGATGGGACACAACTTTTCGATGGTTATAAACAAAAAAACACAATTTGACGGTTATTTTAACTTCGATTTTGATGATTTTTTACAACTATACTCCTTAATACTATATGAATATAATGAACAAATTCAATCGTCAATTTAAAATATTTACACAAGTGGACCACAAAATCTTATGTTATACTTAATGAAAGTATAATATAAACTCTAAGTGTTTGTTGAATCTATTGTTTTGATAGCGTCGCGCATACTGTTTAGTGCGAAACATTACCATGTTTTTTCTAGAAAATTGCGCAACAGACCAATCATGTCGCGCAAAGGCTCTTTCAGCAACAGAGAATTATAACATCGCGCACAAGGGTGTTTGCGTGACACATTTGTCTGTCACGCAAAAACATTTTGTGCAACACAATTTTCCCATCAAACAAAAACCCTTTGTGTGACGCATTGGTTGCTCCGTCGCTCAAAAACCCTTTGCGCAATGCATTTAGTCTGTCACACAATTTTCTAGCGCCAAACCAAAATTTTATTGCTTTTTTTCCAAACATTACGCAACGCATGTGTACCTTCGTCGCGCTAAAACATTTTGCACGATGGAAAGCTTTGTCCCCTAATGGACCGTTGCACAAAACGTCATTGCGTGATGCTTCTTTGTCAATGTCATGCGAAGCGTTTTTGTGTGACATAATATGATTTGTCGCGCAATTTTCCATTGCGCAAGTGTGTTTTTGTATTAATTTTTGTACGTGACTTGATACATTAATTAACCCTTATGTTTCGATCTCATGTTCCAAGGCTCTTAGACATGAAAGTGCTGTGAGTTGTTGCTTTGTCTGCAGTAGCAGATGAGTTGCTTGATTGACAAGCAATGTAGACTGTAGAGGTTGAATGAGCTATTCCAATTGTGGGAAGGAATCAAGTTTTCCCTCTTCATGTGGTGTCTGCAATGGAATGTGTTAAAATACGTGCGTTCAACTTTTATAGGACATTTGGGAAGAGCTCAGCATCATAGTTGGTGTGTGTATTAGTGTTTGCTTCGTCAAATAATGTAATTGACACCAAGAAATGAGCAAATACTCACAATTGAGGAATAAAAAGCGACAGTAAAGGTAATTCCATAAAGTTCTATAAACATTTGTACTACAAGCAAAGAGATTACAAAATGAATGCACAACCAGCCACTTAAATTAAAAAACTTTGTTCTGTGAAAAAAACATAGCTCTGCAAGTTACTACCATCTTCACCATCACCATCATCGTTATCATACACTGTTCTTGTGTTCCAGGCCTGTGAGTGAACTCAAAATCTGCATGCACAAAAGCCCTGTTCGACTTCTGGGAGTTGCTCGAGCTTCTCTTGGAGTGTCTCACCAATGTTATGCGCTTTGTTCAGAAGCAAGTTTTCTGGTAAGACTATGTCAACCTCCACAAAGTAATGAGAACCAAATGTGTACGCCCTCACTGTGTCAATGTGCTTGATCTCTTCGTGGTGGTTCCATATCAAGTATGTCAACTTCGCTAAAAATTCGGGTGGGGCTGTTCGTCCAATTAGCGCATGTACATTTTCCAAGACTGTCTTTGCCCATGTATTAATCGTGTATAGTGCTATCTGTATAATGTGTTTGAGAATGAAGTTCAAATTAATGAACAAACATAGTAAGTACAGTAGATCAGCGGAAGCGAAATTGGTAAATGAAGAACTTACTATAATAGCACCAGTAGGATCAATCCACCAGAAGAACGAAAACAGCTAGGACTGCTGCTGCTAAACCAACTGAATTAGTAATGACATCGAAAAAATGGTCTTGTGCATAAGCCCCGTACAATTTCATTTTTAAATCTACGACAGTAGACCATGAGCACAAGCTTCACCACCGTGACTGAGACCATGATGCCGATCATCCACTTCTCCTGCATACTATTCATTTTTTAAGGTGGTGACTGCAACAAAAAGATACAAGGGATACAGCAAGAACATTAATTACAAAACAAGCTAAATTAAGTTCTACACAATAACCAAAATTTTACAACAAACAGTTGCATATAGGACCATGAACTCCGTTCATTTGATGAAGAAAAACGACCTAGTGATGTCAAAATAGACCTCTGTTGTTTGTGACTTATGAACTACAGTTTTAACGGAGTCTGAAACCTGGCCAGATTCCTTCCTAGTCCAACTTTAAAGAGGGAGTGTGAAGAAAAATATAAAAAAGGTGTCACCTACCTTTGACGCGAGTTGTCGACCAGACTCGAGCAATATTTGCAGTCCAAGAGTAGCCATAACAGATGCAAAGACAATGATACCCTGCATGATCAACCACAATTGAAGATTTACACAAAAAAAAAAGCAAAAAAAAGAACAGAACAAATCAAGAACACAGCAAATATGCAGCTCCAATTCATCCAATTGTTGTAGAAACAAAGACCCAACTATTTTCAGAATTGCCACGGTTACCAAGTTTGATAACTTACCACTGGCTGCATACGCTTCTTCCCAATAGGATAGCGAAACTGGTTGGGATTTTTCATGGCATTAGCAGTGAACCACAAAATAAAGCCGGATAAGAGATCCAAGAGGGAATCCAAGGTAGAGGCGATAACTGACAATGATCTGCTCGTAATTGAAGCATAAACTTTTGCAGCAAAAAGCACCAAATTAACTACGTTTGATGCATGAACTGCCATCCGCTCACTCTTCGCCAGCTGCTTCATTTGATCCTGAATTCAAAAAACTGAATTTTAATCGAGAAACTAGACATTCCAAGAAATGCATGCTTTGAGAAACAACGACAGCTCCTTAACCAGGTTCATGCGCGTAATTATGTGATGTAGAGTAAATAAAAAACAACGATAACAAACTGCTAAAACTAGGCTGCTTCTGCACCCTCTTAAACATATGTTTTAACAAAGATAATTAACACCAAACCACCAAATAGCCCATGAACGAAGTGGTTTTTGCTAATAACTCCCAAGATTCAATCTTTACTTGATACAATCAAGATTACTAACAATGCATGCAATTCAAACACAAAGACCGAAACGGATCATGAAGTAAACGACGAACAGAATCCTTACTGGGCGCGCAGAGGCGACCGAGAGCGAAACGACAGCGTCAACTGTTATCGTCGTCACCAGTAGTACTGCTCTGCTGGGGAAGCCGGAACTCCTTAACATCGAGCCTCCACGAGCCGTCGTCTTCTGACACCAGAAGTGTGTCACTTCGGCCTCCAGAAGTGGCCGAACTAATCTCCATCCTTGGACGAAACGTATGTTTGTTTAGTGTTGGTGTGAGCGAATGAATGTGAGTTCGTTGTGATACTATTTATACGTGAACTATATGAGTTTGCTTAGAAATCCTTTTAAAATTAAAATAATAGTTCAAAAAGGTGTTAGGTTCATCAGCATCTGCTTTTTTCTATTAATTTTTTTTATTAAATTACAATAAATATTATCCCTTATTTTTAGATTATTTTTTTCTCAATTTTAGGATTACGTACAATAATTCTATATTGTTTCTTCTTTTTCCCTCCTCCTGATTTGTATCTCAATTTTTTCTTGGACCTCTATGACATATTAACGTGTTGACTAAATTATGTTGTAGATATTATATATATATATATATCAGCATATATACTAGTATGAATTTATAAAAGGGAACTTTAACGAAAAGTTTCGATACTATTTACTTTAACGAAAAACCACATTTTTACACTAAAAAGTCAATCATGGTACTATTTATTTTGTCCTTATCGTTAAAACTCAAAGTTTTCAAGTTATTTTTATTAGTTTTCCTATTTATAAATGTATGGAAGAATTTAAAAAATAAATAAATAAAAAGAGGGACAACTGGTAGCAAACCACGATTATCCATCCCTTTCGGGCCACAAGTCTAGCTTCCACACCAGCAACGGTTTTTGAGACCTTGGGTTTTTAATTTGAAAGAAACCTCGCAATTCATCATTTACCACTAGGCCACCAACTCATGGTTAAGAATAAATTTTTTTGAACTATTTCATGAATGATAGGTAGGTTAAATTTTTTGTATTTTCCAAATATATATATATATATATATATATTAAAGAAAAATAAAAGAGTTATTCTATTATTATGGTTGAAATCA